AAAGAGAGGAGACACTGAGGGAGGCCTGCCAAGTGAAAGCAGAGGCAGAGACTGGAGCTATTCTGCTCAAGCTAGGAAATGCCTGGAGCTACCAGAATACAGAAAAAAAAATGGAAGGATCCTTCCCTAGAGGCTTTGAAAGGAATAGGTTCTTGCTGATAACTTGATTTGAGACTTCTAACCTGCAGAACTATGGGAGAATATATTCATGTTGTTTTAAAGCCATGAGGTTTTGGTTTTTTCTATGGCAACCCTAGAAAACTAATACAAGCCCCACCTCCAATACCCAAATAAAGAAAATAGATAATTAAATATCATAATTATGATACATAGTAAGAAATCAGTTATCATGGCCATTCAATTTATTAAAAATTTTCATTAATATACTTTTCATAAATTAAAAGCTAAGTAATAACCCCAGAATTAAATGATTTCTGATTATTGCAAATATCTGAGATAGTATCTCCTACAGTGTTAAACTCCTTAACAAACTCTTTAATAAAATAAATCAAGTGAGTTCTTTTTTATATTTTATTTTCCCTTCTTTTTGTAGCAGAACATGAAATAAGTATATCTATTTACTAAATTGATGAACAAATTCATTAATTTTAAACAATTTTTTCTGAGGATGAAATCATTAAAAAATAATTTTCACTTGCTGCACACTTTGAAATATTCATTTTTTTAAATGAATTGATATATCATTAGTAACTATATCTAACCTTCAAGGTAAAGCATAGAGCATTTCCATTATCCCCAAAATTTCCCTAAGGCTCTTCACAGATAACACCCACCCCACCCCACCCCAGGCATAAGCAACCACTATCTGCTTTCTGCTGATTTATATCTGCTTTCCTTTTGGTTTTCCCCTTTAAATTGTTTGAAGAACAGACAATATTTTATTTTTTTAAAATGCTCCTTAAGTCATAATATCTTTGAAAAAACTTAAAAATATAAAAAACAATATAAAAATATTAATAATTTGGAGTTGATCTACTGTGCTATACTCTAAGAGGCTGGACCAACACTGACCTTAAAAAACTACCGGCAACTAAAAAAGTGAGACTTATTTTTGTAAAGTAACTTTTATAAATTTAGTTGCTGTTATATTTCTTGCATTACAGCTTAAAAATTATCAAAAGAAAACTCAGATTTGGAGAAAAAAGTTGACCTAAGTAAAGTAGGTCTCTTGTATATAGAATGTGCAATATATTCTCTCAACTCAGCTTTCAAGTTACATCCCAAAACACCTTTTTAGGTCAACAAATAGTTTGCTAAAATTCTTGTCAACCTAAACAGTATCTTCACAAAGAGAACAGATTATCTGGTAAAGAACATCTAAGGGTGTAGATTCCTAAATAAGGGGCCAGGGTTGTGGCTTAGTGGTACAGCATTTGCCTAGCATGCATGAGGCAGTGGGTTTGATCCCTGATACCACATTAAAAAATAAAAACAAATAAAATAAAGATATTGTATCCACCTACAACTAAAAAAATTTAAAAAAAGAAAATCCTAAATAATTACCATAGAACTCTGGATCTAATAAATGACTCTAACAAGGTTACAAGATACAGGGTTAATATATAATAGTCAATTGCTTCCCTAAATACGAGTAATGAACAAGTAGAACTTAAAATTTAAAACATAATGTTATTTACATTGACAAAGCAAAAAAATATTTAAATATAAATCTAATAAAATGTGCAAGATCTAAATAAGAAAAACAATAAAACTCTGATGAAAGAAATCAAAGAATTAAATAAATGAAGAAACATTCCATGTTTATGAATAAGATTTGGTAATGTGTCAGTTCTCCCCAACTTGATACATAGATCCAATATAATTGAAAGCAAAAAGAATCAGCAAGTTATTTTGTAGATATCAACAAAGTGATTATTAAGTTCATATAGAAAGGCAAAGATCTATTAATAAAGGAGGGCTGATACTATCCCAACATCAAGAATTATTATAAGGCCACAGTAATCAAGACAGTGTTTGATTGGCAAAAGAATAGACAAACAGATCAATGGAACAGACTAGAGAGCCGAGATATAGTCTCACAGACATGTTTTTGACAAAGTGATCTTTGAAAAGGAGCAAAGTCAATACAGTGGAGAAATGGCTGTCTTTCTCACAAAAGACTGGAACAACTGGATATTCACATGCAAAAAAAAAAAAAAAATTCTAGACACAGACCCTATAACCCTCAACAAAAATCTACTGAAGATGGATTATAGAACTATATGTAAAACATGAAACTATAAAACTCTTAGACTACAACACAGGAGAAACTAGATGATCTAGGGTTTGATGATGACTTTTTAGACATACAGCAATGGCATGATCCATGAAAGGAAGAATTGTAAACTAGATTTCACTAAAATCATAATGTTCTGCTCTGCAAAAGACACTGTTAATAGAATGAGAAGACAAGCCACAGACTGAGAGAAGATACTTACAAAAGATATATCTGAGAAGGACTGTTACATGAAAAACTGTTAAAACACAACAGTGGGGCTGGGGTTGGGGCTCAGCGGTAGAGTGCTCACCTAGCACATGTGGGGCCCTGGGTTCGATCCTCAATACCACATATAAATAAATAAAAGGATTGTATCCAGCTATAACTAAAAAATTAAACACACACACACATACACACACAATAGTGAGGAGCACACCTATGATATGTGCATTGCAGAAGGCCGAGGCAGGAGGATCACAAGTTCAAGGCCACTCTGAGCAACCATACAGTACCCTGTCTCAAAATTTAAAAAAATTTAAAAACTTAGGGATGTAGCTCAGTGGTAAAGTAACTCTGGTTTCAATCCCCAGCACTGCAAAATGATAATAATTAAACAAATCTTTTGGACAAGCTTGTTCTATAGCTTCAAAGTACCTGTACCCTGGACTTGGAAGAATGAGTGCCTTTTAATTATGATTAGGGCCTACAAAATGCAAGGTTAACTAATTTAGTAAGAAAAGTTATATTTGAAGCTTTCTAAAAATTGGGGGGAAAAAAAGAAAAACATTTAAGTGCCTCTCCCATCATACCATTCTTATTTACTTTATATACCCTAAATAGAAGTAAAGCTTGGGAAGATCAATGAGAATCTTCTATTTCACTTGTATCAGAAAAAATACATTCACTCATTTGACCAACTTGTCATTCTTACAGCTTTTCTTTCTCTCTCACTTCTTATCTACCTCTGACTGCTTTTGTCCCAGATCTAATCTTTGCTTTTAATGTTTTTCAAATTGGATTTGCAACCATCCAGCAATTTCTATAGTCATAACTAAAAATCCTTACTTTCTACTTCCACTATCCAATCTTTTTCAGTGTTCCATTTTCTATTCTTCCTCCTTAGTAGACAGTAATGAAAATTGACTCTCATAAAACTCTGAAACCTAGAATTCATCTCAATGTCTATATTTCAGTCTATTGAGCTCTTACCTAAATGCTGGGAATTTTACATAGGTTATTTCATTTACTCATCACATAATCCAGGAGATAATTATCATTTCCTTCCCATTGTTCATTTGAGGAAACTAAGGCATAACTTCCCAAGATCATGAAGCAAGTAAATGACAATGCTAGATTTACTAGACTGGGTTCTTAAATACTGTGCCATATTGACTCTCACATGTTATTTGCAAAGCCATCTAATTAATTTTCTAATCAAAGCCTAAATCTATTCCTTTCTCTATTTTCCAATCATAAAAAATTCAAACCACAAATTTTTACTGATTTAAGCCTGATTAAGAACACAATTTAAAATATATCAAATTCTTTTTTAATTTCTCAACTAGTTTTCAAAAACCTATATTTTAGTCGTAGCTTCATCACTCTGTGACCTTAGATGTTATTCAGACTTGTTATGCTTTAGGTTCTCATCTTTAAAATAAAGATAAAATGTGCTTTATATAACACACTTGTTTTGAGACCTAAAGAGAGTCACAAAAGTAATTGGAGAAGTTGAAAACATTATACAAGTGTAAATTGGACCAAAAATTCAGCATCTTTCTAAGCTTCTCAGGCTTCTTTTTCTTATAATAAACTGGTAGCATGGTTCTGTCTTAACATTAAACTGTGTAACTATACTGCACTATTATTCCTATAAAATGAAAACTTTTAACTCTGACCTTCAGAAATTTCCAGCAAACTTACTGTAGACTTTCTTTTCTAGACAAAATTGTATTTTCTCTGCTCTTTTAAGTCACAAACTGGTTGCCCATCTAGTCCAATAATGTCATCCGTTTCTAAATTCCTCCAGTTAATCCTCATCTGGTCCTAAACCCTTTAACTGTTCCCGATCAGTGACAGTTCATAAGCCACATCAAACTGGTTTCAGCTTGCTTTTCTAGGACAAGTTCCAACCCACTTCTCCCCCATTATCATCACCACCAAAAAAGCCCCCTCCCTGTCTATATTTAATCTTTCTTAAATCTCCATACCGCTATTTCTGTGTGTAGTTCCTCCCTCTCCTCCAAAGAGTAATAGTTTCCTGGTATCTTTAACACTATTCTGAGTAACTACAGAACCCTAATTTATGTATCCAAGTTTGGGGAGACAGACAAATCTTATTTTTGTGTAATAACTCCACTTTGATTCCACGCAAAAATAGCTCTACTTTAAAGTAAGCAGGCTAAATGGCATTCCTCCTTTTTCCCCATCTCTGACAGGCTGCACCTGCCCTTAATTAGACTCCATTCTTGGTGGTGACCCCAGCAATTCTTCCCATCTCCCTGTTCCCTCCCTGCCCAAACCTGGCGTCCTGAGGTGAACTGGGCATGCTCAGTTGCCACAGCTGATTCCGGGATGGTAACAAATCTTTTTGCAGCATATGAGACCGGCAGGAGAGGAATGCTCTGAAAATACTGTGGCCCAGAATTTGCTTACTCCTCCTATGGTATCCTTTCATTTAAAGATATGTACAAAGTCTAGGAATGAACTCGGAAATGGACAGCTTACAGCCAGTCCCTAGTCTGCAAGGTGGGTTACCAACCTGAGTAGCAGAGAGCTGAGAAACAGCCTCTCCGTCTGGTTTGGTGCAGGGAGGGGATTTCTGCTGTTCTGTGAGAACGCTGATAGATGGCTGGAAGCTAGCATTTGGCATCTCTGCTGCGTCAAGAAAATACTGGGGTTTTTCTCTTTTTTTCCTTCAGCACAACAACATGAGCTGCTCCAGACTAAAAAAGATGTTGCCTGAAGATCTCCAAGCTCTGTGAGCCAGACAGAGAGATTGTGGAGAGGATAGAAGGCAAATCAATCACTTATCCAAAAATTAAATCCAGGGAGGCGGCTTAAGGACCAGAGATAAACAGATGGGCTATTTCCAAATGACAGTTCAGGAACCTCTCAGATATTCAAATCTGAATCCTGTGCCTGTCCCCACAAAATGCATACCTTCTTTGTACATGAACCGTGGCATATTTCCCTTTGAGAAAGAAACTGACAGATCTCTCTCTCTCTCTCTCTCTCTCTCTCTCTCTCTCTCTCTCTCTCTC